TTTGGAGAATTCCTACTTTCCAGCTTTCCATGTCCCTGAAGCTACTGACACTTCTCATTCCTGACCTCAAACATTGGCGAAACGAGGACACCTCTTTGTTTTAAAATATAGGGGTGGCAAAGAGACATGAATTCAGAAATAATTGTGTTTAGCCGCGGTGTCAACCAGAAACTTGTTATACAGAATTCAGGAATGGTGCAAAACGCACTGGAACCTCAGAACATATTTGTGAGGCAGCCCTCATTATTTGCTTCTACTGTTAGGAAGCTTAGGGCATTTCTAATAAAAAGGAATATGGTCAACATTTATATTTTTTTCTCTCTCTCTCTCCCCTCCCTTCCCTTCTTCTCATTGTCCAGAACACCCCACTTTCTTACTCCAGTTTCTACCAATAATTTGTGAATTATTTTTTATCATTCTACTACAATTTCCTTCTGTCCCTCTCTTTATTTCCCATAGTTATCTTTTGATCAAATGCCATATTCTTTGCTCTCTCTCTGAAAGGGTCAACTAACAGACATCTTGTTCAGTTAACAATACTTATTTCCTGCTCCTTGGTTACTTTCTGGCCTCGTGAAATCTACAGTTTCACCCCTAAGTGTAACAGATGGATTTGTATGTCTAGGGAACTTAGTCCTTCTAAGGCAACCCTCTACCATTATTAATTTATTTTCTTCAACTTGACCCACTTTTTCATTAAAATGAATTGATTTGGCCAGGTGTGGTGGCTTATGCCTATAATCCTAGCATTTTGGGAAGCCAAGGTGGGAGGATGGCTTGAGGTTGAGAGTTTGAGACCAGCCTGAGCAAGCGTGAGACCCTGTCTCTATTAAAAAAAAAAAAAAAAAAATAGAAAATTTAGCTGGGTGTGGTGGTGCACACCTGTAGTTCCAGCTACTGGGGAGCCTGGAGGCTGCAGTGAGCTATGATGGTGCCATTGCAGTCTAGCCTGAGCAATAGAGTGAGACCTTGTCTCTAAAAAATAGGAATGTATTTAAAGGTGCACCACTAATAGTAAACTTGTAGATTTGAGATGCTGGTTATGAAAATTAAATTCCTATTTTTTAAACAAAAGTGTGTGTCTTATGTCCTCAGGTAGCAGGGACTCTGGTAATGACCTTTCTTACCTTCCTTTCTGACTCAGAAACCCCCCGATCATCTCAGATGAGTGAGCGTCCACACTGTGCCTGAACATCTCCACTGTGACTAGACGTGGTTTCCCGGCAGGGCTCAGCCCCAGAAGAGGACGGATGCTTTTCCTTTGCCCTCAGCCTGAACGAGCTGCCCCGGTTTTTTCCTTAGTGTCTGGCTCCCAGCATCTCATAGCAAGTCTACTCCCTTTGGCAACTCTAGGGCATCCTCCCCTCCACCTTTTCCTCTCTCCTTTGAAAACTTTGAACAGGAGGTAATTCTAGAGAGGAGGTTGTGGCCTGCCAGTTGCAGAGATCAATCAGGTCTCTCAAATCCCACATATTCCAGCAGGACTAAGAAATGCCCGAGGGCTCCAACATCAGGTGGCAGGGATGGAAAGCTCTAGAAGCACAGAGGATGGGGGAGGGAGAGAGCTGAGTATCTAGAAAAGCGCAGCAATTCTGGAGCAGACGCTGCCATGGTCATTGTTGAGTTGCTGTGACACCCTGCCAGGGTAGACAATTTGAGTAGGAAGAACCTGAGTCCCTTCCCTTCCTCAGAAGTAACCTAAGCTAGAAGTTATTGGGCAGACTATTCTGCCCAATAAAATTAAACAGAAAAAAGAGGTTGAAACCCACTAGAGGGGACTGATTTGTCTAACACATAACCCAAGACCTCTCGGAATTGTCTTAAATCTACGTATCGTGCACTATTTTCAATGAGATGGAAGGGGTAAACCAGAAACTTCCTTCAAATAAAACAGAACCTCACATGACTTTCTAGGAATCTCTTTAACCATCAACTCTAAAAAAATGGAACACAGAGGATATTTCCACTCATCAGAGTATACTAGTACCTCAAGGGAGGTAGGTCTAGTGGCTTGGAAAAAAAGCACTTTTGAGACTGTAATATATTAGTACTTCTAGCTAGGATGAATCTTGCTCCATGGTTCTAGAGTATGGGAAATAGCCGTAAGATAACTTAACCAGAAAAAAAAATAAGACTATCTATGAGCCCTTGTTCTGCTGCTGAGGTGGGTGGCGTAACGGTGTTTATTACTGTTCTACGCACACAGACACACACCCCAGCGGCAACACGCCAAAGTTGTCACCTGACACAGAAAAAAATATTCAGAAAGATCTGCAAGATTCTAGCAATATTGTTGGAGACAGGACAGAAACATGTGCTGGGTAAACAAAACTCTAAATTAATATTTCAGTAAGTGTTTTGGTCACGTAATTGCTTATGTGGAACTGCCCCCTGAAAAATCTTATTGTCATTATAATATAAATAGTAGGAAAATGATATAAAAATTTTTTGGTGGCCTATAAAGTGAGCGAGGGGCAGTTTTCTAAGCCTACATACCAAGCCACTGAGGACCGGAGGAAATGCTGTCAGGGGCGTGACTCCCCTACTCACTTCATATAAACCTCACCCAGATATTAATACTTTCAGGGCTCCACGGCTGGGCCCAATGGGCTTGGCCCAAGTAAGATGAATCTGATAAATGAAAGCACCTTAAGAGACCAAAAGCAAAAAGGATTATTTTGGTGTCTTTCTTCCCTGAACAGAATCTCTTTCCACTGTAGTCTAGATGTTGGCACACTCCCTTCTTCTAACTCTGTCTTTTTGCCCTGTGCCTTGCTGCATGGGTTTTCTGATATAGCCTCACACCCCAATCAATACAGATGCACACTCTGTTAATTATTTTAAACTAGTCCATTCTTTCCTTTTCTTGTGGAATCCCCACTGCCCCCGCCTTCGGACAGCTTCTACTTCCTGCTATACAAGATTCTATGCGGCTAGGAAAAGACACTCAATTGAAATATGCATAGGAGACCACAAATTCATGCTTCCATTTGTTATGGCCACTTTACAAATGAAGAAACAGAGGCCCAGAGAGGTGGACACTCAGTAAATGATAGCTAAACTATGATACTTCATTTTCATTTTTAACTAGGCTCAGGAACATCCACATTTTTTCCCCTTGGGTGGGTACTGATGGAGATAGTTTTCTTTGTGGTGGATTTTTTTTTTTTTTTAAGTCTTCATTTCTTGTCTACTCCCCTCCCTTTCCAAAGTCAATGTTAAAAAAAAAAGCCCTAAATTCAGTTATGCCAACTAAAGTCCTAGTTCCTGCCATTTGCATCATCTACCCACAGGCTGCACGGAGGTGGAGGGCATGGACTCAAGTTTGGGTTCATCAGGCACCCAAGGACCAGGTGCGCTTCAAACTGCCCGGCCCCAGCCTGCCACAGAATTTAACATCTGAAAGTCTGGATACAGAGGATGTGAGAAGGAGCAGCTTAAGCTCTCCAAAAAAAAAAAAAAGGGAAATTGGTTGTTCACTGGGTAAATAAAAGACGTGTAGGTTGTTTACTCATTCTATTATGGAAAAAAGTACTAACTCACAGATTGTAGTACGTGTACTTCATACAATAATAACGAAAGTCGACTAAGTCCATCACTGATAGAGAGCGACACTATGTCTTAAAATTGCACTGATTTGTAATTCAAAAGGAATAAAATTAAATAGCCAGTGTCTTCCTTATTTTCCAGTAAATGGTATCAATTTGGTCAAAAATATGGTTTTAGTTTTGTTATTTAGTCTCTAAAACAAACAAAAAAATATGACTCCACTGACATATTGGAGGTCTTCTGTAACGCAAAAAAATTATTTGGTTTAGAAAATACTCCTGATACTGCCCACTTATTTTAAACTGTTTTTATTCCAATCATTTTCATAACACCGATGCTCGTATCAGAACGTGGGAGAATAACAACCTTTAAGATCGACACAGCGAAGTTTAATTATGATCCCCATCATGAGAAATATCCTACTCTTTTCTAAACATAAAAATGTTTAATAAAGTGGTACCGTTTGGCAGATCATTCTACATCAGGTAATTGTTTTGGGGAACTCGAGGGAATAAAAAGGTTAAAGAAGATAAGGGCTTAATGCTCAAAGTGACATACATCTTGTTAAGCTAACTAGATGTTTCTTCCTAAAATCATCCACGTCCAGAGAAAGAGAGAGAGTCTTCCTAGGGTCGTTGTGATAAATAAATATTTATTACGAAAACATCAGCCATGAAAATATATAACCCTTTGCAGCTGGTAACTATAGTTGTTATCCTAAATATTATACTGAAAACACACAGATCATATTGAGAACTTCAGAGACAATTTCTTTTGGGGGTGGGGTGAGGTTTTTAATTGGCATGAGAGAAATGCCAGCTTTATTTTTTTTTTTTTTTGAAGGGATTGCATTTATTCTGAACTTGATCAAGGAGTTAATTCTACTCAACTACGCAGCACATGGATATCTCCGAAGAGCTCATGAGCCTTGCAAGACAAACCACTGGATCCTTTCCTATAGACCAGGAAGAGAAAATTGACCACACCCAAAAGAGAAATTAGCAGCAAACTTGTAAAAAGAATGACCCTGGGAGGAAACAAGGACAGCATGCACGTTAATGAATACTTACATAAATGTCTGCACCATAAAATCCATCCTGGTAAACAACACTGCAAGGGTGCACACACAAAGAAAAACATCCATATTAGTGCATTTCCCCATGCAGACACACCAACCCCTGCACTGGCGAGGTTAGTCTGGTCACAAGATCCAAAACACAGGAACCGAGGGTAGTTTTCACATTGATTAAGGAGGTTGGAGACAACAGCAGTTGGTCAAACTGAGAAAATTAGGCTGGGGTCTGCCATCGGCCCAGTCTCAGGACGTGGTGGTGTGCTGGGTACCGAGCTTCCCGCTGTCTCGGGAAGGCTTGCGGAAATGTACAACTTGAAAATGCAAAGAGGTTGAGATTTACAGACGTGAGCTTCTTAAAATGTCAGAGTTTGCAATCAAACCACATAGCTCCCCCCACCCCTGAGAAAAACAACAAAACATTTGTTTAAGGATATGATTGTCAGGGTAGAGACACAGATTGTAGCGTTTTCAACATGGGTTATAGCTGAAAGGCCTCAGGGAGCTGGGCATCCCAAACGTTTTTGACAATTTTCATCTCTATTCTTTCACATTGTAGTATTATTGGATAATTTTGTGTGCCACTCTCACAGTAAATATAGGAGAGTATCTCCGCAGGGGTGTGAGAGCATGTGTATATAAGTGTGTGTGCAAGAATATATTAATATATGAGTGTGTATGTTTGTGCCTCATATGTATATATGTGTGTATGTGTGCAAATGTATGTGTGCATATGTGTATGTGTACAGGTATAGAGGAATGTACGTGTTTGTGCTTGTATATATCACACATGCGTATAAACGTGTGTGCATGTGGGAGAATGTATATATGTGTATCAGTGTATGTTTGCATGTGTGTACAGTCACATAAATTATATCCAGACTAAGCAAAGCCCCACATTAGGACTGAACAAGCCCAACTCCTAGCAGCTCTCTGATCACCACCTATACAGTCAGCATCCCAGAAAGAAGACACTACCAAGGGCAGGGGGATGATCCTGGACTTCTCCAGAAGTTTCTTGGTATACCTTGAGTACCACAACTGGGAAAAGAAGTCCTTAGCTATGGAATCATGGGAAACTGATGTAAATTTTCTAAGCATTAAGACAAGTTTAATGAGGATAGAGTGTATATTTTACACGCTTTTGTATCATAGGATATCTTGAATATAAACATCTGTGTTTCCAAACACGTGTTTTTCAAAGGATAATAATTGTTATTGACAGTCTTCCCAGATGTCTTCCCATGAAGTTTCTAGATGATTTATGATTCTGGCAAAGGACTAATGAGCTCCACCATTGAATGAAGCTGGGTTCTAACAGAAGCACAATCCTGATTAGCAAAGGACTCCAGCAGGTTTCAGTAGCAGAGTGAACCCACACAGAAGCGAAGCATATTGAGCCAAGGAAAGGTACTTTACAACACACACACACACACACACACACACACACACACACACACATGCACACGTGGTGGTGACACTTGTTTGCTGGAGAACACTGTAGTGTGCTTCTCAGAGTTTTTTTGGAGTTGGTTGACTAAACCCCAAGTACCATTATCCTTAAAAACATGGCAGGGATTTCATACGCTAAAGAGGTTGGTAGGCACAGCTCTCAGCTGCTGCTCATTTTTGATCCAGGATGGGTATACAGTTCACAAGAGCATTTGTCAAGCAACATAAAACCCTAATCCGAGATACTGAGGTGTGCGGCATCCTGAGCTATATTCTGAATTCTCTTTCAACATTTCCAACATAAAGAGATAAACAACACAAAGTGCCTATTGGGGTCGGAAGGCAGGGTCAACCTCTGCCTACAGGACTTGGAACAGATCTGATAAAACAGAGGCAAGCAACAAATACGTAGTTTGGACCCCAAACCACAGGACTGATCATTTAGTTGTATCAAAACAGCTTCTGCCCCATTTTTTTTTTTTCATGCTGTCATGGCTGCACACATGCTATTTCTTGTGCCGCGAATGCCTTTTCTTCCGACATCCCCCATCCAAAAGCAGAGAGATGACCATTCAAGAGCCAACTTAGATGGGAAACACACAGGCATCTGCGTCAAACTGCAGACCCCCCAACCAACAGCTGGGTGCCTCGGACAAATTACTGAGATGTTTGAGTTTCATTTACTCATTTGTAAAATGGTAAAAGAGGTTAGTAAGTGCCCACCTCAAGGGAGGATTATAGTAATACAATCCTTGCAAAGGGATGAGCCACATCCTTAACACTGTAGCTCTAACTAAATGTCACCATCTCTGTGACCCAGTGTCCACCTGCAGCTGAGTTAGTTGCTCCACTTATGAACCCCAATAAGACTTTTTCAGATCCTTACCCTGGGCCACTCCTCAATTTCTGCCTCATACTAAAGGTATTTGCATTTGTGGCTCATTTCACCTTGAAAGGTGCACCCAATGGCTTAACCAACATTCTGTCTCAATGCCCGACACGTTACTTTGTACCTAGAAGATGTACAATAATGATCTGTTGAGTGAATGAAGCCCATACTTTGAAGATGAGGTTTTAGAAGGTGGCACAAGGTGACACAGACTCCCTTTTTAAATTAACTCCAGGTAGAATTTGATAACCAGTAATGGGTCAGGAGGAGGGACCCTGAAGTCTCAGGCTTGTCTGTGGTTTGGTTACTGAACGTCGATGGCTGTTGTCAATGGAGGAGAGGGAGAGGACCGAGCTTCAAACACTAGAACCTGAATTAGAAGACCAGGGAAAGAGACCAGGCGGAAAGGGTTCCAAGAGTAAGCAAAACATTAATATTTTTCACCAGATATTAATATATACATTTAAATGGGAAACAATGCCTTTTTCTAAATATCTGTAGGGTAGGACCTCATCTGTTTCTGCTCCACTGTTAAAAAAGAGCCAAGCCCAGGCCTTTGCAGGGGTCTTCCAGGGGCACGTGGTTGGGGTGGGGACCAGGAGTGGAGCTTCCTGATGTGGCTGAAGCTGAGCTTGGGCCGGGAAACTGCTGCCTTCTTTCTCTAGGACAGGTTATTATGCACCATGGCCAGCGGTGTGCTTCCACGCCAAGCCCACCTGCACCAGCAACACCCAGAAGTGAGAAAAGGACAGGGCCCAATGCTTGCCCTGTCCTTGCTCAGGACAAGGGAAGTCCTTGCTCAGTAGGGTAACCTAGCTGCTCTGCTCTGCTCTGCCCTCCCACCGTGGGCAGTGGAAAAGTCATTTTGGAAACTCTGACATCCCACATTCATGAGACATCGAACCAAAGAGAAGCTGTGATCTAGCTTCCTCATTTTGATGAGCTCCAACAAACTGACTGACAAGTACTATTTCTCCGTGATTGAAAGGTTGACTATACCCCTATGCCATGGCATGCAGAGCAGGGAAAGCAACCTCTCTCCACCCCCACTAAACCTGCTCTCGCAGGAGTTTACAGGGAGTGGGGTGCACAGCCACAAAGCCATGCACGGAAATGTAAAATAGCAGCTGGGAGAGGTGCCGCGGAAGAGAGGAACAGGCACCGTGGGTGTGTCATGGAAGGAGGCACAGCCAGCATCAGATAGCAGCCAGGCTGAGCAAGCAGCACAGAAATCTCAAAGCCTTAGCAGGGTAGAGAGGAAGGAAGCACAGGCCAGGCAAAGGGGACAGGCGATGAAAGGCCAGGTGGCTGGAAGGCGCCTGGCTTCTAGGAGGAAGGGCATAATTTCTAGCTTCAGGGTCTTCAGAATCCTTCAAGGAGAAAGGAAGAATTCTAGCTGCTATTATAAACCACCTCATGAAGCAATTGCTTTCTTTCAACACATGCATGCATGTTTTGGAGAGAAATGAAGGGGAGGGCGAGTGATCTACCTTCACCGTAACTCTAAAACACAGGAGGAATGAATATGGTTGTCCTTATCGGTAGTGTGAAATGAAGCCACTTAATAGGTTGCCAGTTTTACCAAAATGCAGTGTTTTTCTCCCAAGTTAGTAGTAATAGCACAAGCACCATGACTACTACTACTACTCACGTGTATAGAGAAATGAGTGTGGGTTAGTCCCAAATCTAAACGCTCTGTGCTCATTATCCCATTGAATTCCCACAATGCCCCTGTGAGATGGGTAATATTATCACCACCTCTGTAAACACGTAGAGACAGAAATGAAGAGGGCTAGGTACCGACCTAGCCGGGATGCTAGCCCAGGTAGTCTGGCTCCACAGCCCCAGCTCTCAACTACTACGGCAGGCGCAGTGGTGGTCAAACTCCAGTGTGCACCAGAATCACTTGAAGGACCTGTTGAACTGGCCCATGCTCAGCCCAGAGGTTCTGATTCAACAGATCTGGATGGAGTGTCTAAGAATTTGCATTTCTAACAAATAACAGGTGATACTGATGCTGCTGGTCCAATGACTGAAAGAATCATTGCTCTATGGAACACCACGTTCCAAGTGTTATTTCACTTTACATTCGAGACAAACTGAAGGTCAGCCTCTGAGGTCCTATTCCAAAGGAGGAGCAGGATACAGGAAAGCTCTTAAGACAAAGTCTCTTGCTAGTTTCTAAGAATGTATCCAAATACTTTTTAAAGCCTCATCAAACACCTGCACTTAAAATATCAAATATGTAGGGAAAGAAGGACAGGGGTCCGTATCTAGGACACAGCTATAGATCAATTAACCACAGCCCGGTCACAAGGGAAGGGAGTTGCCATCATGCATTGAACAGGTGCGGCCCTATTTTAATGCAGAGATGGTCTGTCTAGCTATGCAAAGGTAATTGTATTGCTTGTCAATCACTTCAGGACTGCAGTATGCTTTTTGCAAGAACATAATGCAAATGCACATCTCATTTTCTTAGAAAAGTGATAGCAGTAGTTAAATATTTGGATGAATGCAAGCAGGAAATGATTGCACTATAGCAAATTAGTTTACTTTTAAAAGAAAGGAAAGAAAGTACAGAATGCTCCAAACTATACAAGCTGTTTGTGTAATATAATGTACACCAGCCACAAATATATTTTTGTAGAAAAGCCTATTTAAAACTGCTCTACCCTGCTGCCCCTTCCAACTGGAAAT